TGGCGGGCGACTGTAGTCCCAGCTACTCGGGAGACTGAGGCAGGAGAATGGCGTGAACCCGGGAGGCGGAGTTTGCAGTCAGTGAGCCGAGATCGCACCACTGCACTCCAGCCTGGGTGACAGAGCAAGACTCTGTCTCAAAAAAAAAAAGAAACCAGCCTGACCAACATGGTGAAACCCCTACTCTACTAAAAAATACAAAAGCATTAGCCAGGCATGGTGGCATGTGCCTGTATTCCCGGCCACTCAGGAGGCTGAGGCAGGAGAACTGCTTGAACCCTGGAGATGGAGGTTGCAGTGAGACAAGACTGCGCCACTGCACAACAGCCTGGGCGACAGAGCACTATTCCGTACCAAAAAAAAAAAAAAAGTGCAATAGAATTTAGTTTCCTAATATCAATTAAATTAAAAAAAAAGCAGTTTACCTGTAAATAATTAGGAAGACTAAGCAGCCCCAGAGATAAGACCTTTTGGCATCATTGTCCCTTGTTCTGGAGTGATAAAGTAACCTTCCTTGAAGTGTATCAATCCGTCACCAATCAGGTTGCTGCAGCCTATGCGCTGGTCTTGAATGGAAAATGTGATTCTGCTAAAGCTTCTCTGTCTTTCCCTGTGTGTGAAACCTTAACATCTCTACTTGGGAACAGGGGCCCCCTTCATTTGGAATTGAGTTTTCCAGGTGGCTGTCCTCAAGCTTTGTGTTCAAATAAAGTCTATAATTAATCATGTATTCTAAATTTTATTATTTACTGCTGACATCAGTTTCTGTCCGATTGTAGGAGCCTCACCAGAGGGGGCACCTGTCACCATGTTGCAAAACTCACACTTGTCAAAAAGACATGGGTTAGGGTTACTCTCCCTCCCTCAGGATGAAGCTACTTAGCTGACACAGATGGTCACCTCCATTACCAAGTAGAGAAAGGATGAACTGTGTGGACCAAGGGTGTTGTCAAGTCCTCTTCCCTGAGGACTGATTAGTGTTTATCTTGAAAACATGTACTTAATGGGTTGTATAAAACAGTGAAGATTTTTTCTCTTTTCAACCTCTCAGGTCTTTGCCTCTATTTCCCATCACATTCTGGTCTAAGGCTTATTTATTAATAAAATGGTTTTTATTTCTTCCTCTTTTGTCGTGAAGATGATTTCTCATTTCGGGGAATATTTTTTAGTTTTTCAATTGTATTTTCTCAACATTTAAAAAACTAAGTAAAGAGTATTTCTTGGGCCAGGCACAATGGCTCACACCTGTAATCCCAGCACTTTGGGAGGCCGAGGCAGGCGGATCACTCGAAGTCAGGAGTTCTAGACCAGCCTGTCCAACATGGTGAAAGCCCGTCTCTACCCAAACTACAAAAATTAGCCGGGCATGGTGGCGGGCGTCTGTAATGCCAGCTATTCCGGAGGCTGAGGCAGAAGAATCGCTTCAACCCAGAAGGCAGAGGCTGCAGTGAGCCGAGATGTCGCCACTGCACTCCAGCATGCGCGACAGAGTAGTCTCAAAAAAAAAAAAAAAAGACGAAAAGAAAAAATGTAAATAAAAGGGAAAAAGTAATAGATCTCTTTTACAAATATGCTGGGACAACGAACTGGATATCCACATGGAAAAGGGTAATGTTGGATTCCTATTTCATACAAGCAAAAAAAAAATTTTTTTTTTCTTCTTCTTTTTTTTTTTTTTTTTTTTTTGAGATGGAGTCTTGCTCTGTCGCCCAGGCTGGGGTGCAGTGGCTCCATCTCGGCCCACTGAAAGCTCCGCCTCCCAGGTTCAAGGCATTCTACTTCAGCCTTCTGAGTAGTAGCCTATGGGCGTCGGCCACCGCGCCAGGCTAATTTTTGTATTTTTAGTGGAGACGGGGTTTCGCGGTGTCATCCAGTCTCGATCTCCTGACCTCCCGATCCGCCGGCCTCAGTCTCCCAAAGTGCTGGGATTACAGGCTTGAGCCACCGTGTCCAGCCTAATCAAAATTTTATAAATTATTTAAAAATTAAAAGAAAAAAAAAAAGAGACTGCGGGAGGGAATGTTACTTTGTCGCCCAGGCTGGCCAGGACCGCCAGGCTCAGCGATCCTACCGCCACTGCTTCCTGAGTAGCGGGGACCTCGGGCTCCCACGCCCGCGCCCGCATCCCTGCTGTGTTTAAGCAGCAGGTGATGACCTCACTCCTCCCTGGTCTGAGCACTCCGCCCCGCATCCCAGGCGGTGGCCCTAGGGAAGTCTCTGAAGCTGAGCACTGGGTGGACTCTCCCTCCCGAGTGAATGGAGAATAGAAAGGGAGAGGATTTCTATTCTATCCTGTGGGCCGTCAGCATGAAATCCTACCTTACGCTCAGGCAGGGTTTTGCATTTTACCTTCTAGTTTGCATCCTCCTTCCAGACTATTCCAGGGCTTTTGAATCATCCTTCTGCTTTCTTGGCTACTCTCGCCGCTAAAAGCCGGAAAACAGGGCTGGAAGGAGGCTGAGAGACTCACAGGTCCCGCTCCGGCCCCGCCTTCTGCCGGTACTAAAGGGTAAGGTCTCTCCGCTTTGCGCCCCGCCCCTACCTCACGCAGGCCCCGCCCCTACCTCACGCAGGCCCCGCCCCTACCTCACCCAGGCCCCGCTCACCTCCTCATTGGCTCCACCCAGGCCTGGTTTCTGTCTTGCGCGCGCAAATGCGCGCAGACCAGGAAGCGGATCCCGTGGAGTGACGGTCACACCGCGGCGGTGAGTTTTGCTCTGTGTTGTATTAAGTCTGCGCTCCCCAGGTCGCGGCACTTCTGTACATGGGATGTGGGGTCCCCACAGACCTGGAATTTCTCGTCTTTCTTCCTTCACTCAGAGCAAATGGAGATGTTCTCCTGGGAGTCCGGAAGTCCCTTCTTTTTGTTTAAAGTCACCCTGAGGCTGGTCTCGTCCCCGGTCTTTCTGCTACAGGGCATTGTATACACTTCCTATCGCGTAGTTTTCCTGCTCAAAACAGTGTTTTGACTCCTTCCGCACTGCGCTTTTTTTTTTTTTGAGACGGAGTCTCGCTCTGTCGCCCAGGCTGGAGTGCAGTGGCGCGATCTCGGCTCACTGCAAGCTCCGCCTCCCGGGTTCCCGCCATTCTCCTGGCTCAACCTCCCAAGTAGCTGGGACTACAGGCACCGCCACCACGCCCGGCTAATTTTTTGTATTTTTTAGTAGAGACGGGGTTTCACCGTGTTAGCCAGGATGGTCTCGATCTCCTGACCTCGGGATCTGCCCGCCTCGGCCTCCCAAAGTGCTGGGATTATAGGTGTGAGCCACCGCGCCTGGCCCCGCACTGCGCTTTTTAAAGTCCTCATCCGAGAGGTGTATTCCCTCTCTGCGCGCCTCCCAGCCTCACCCTCGTCGATTGCTGGAGCACAGCACCGTGACCCCAGTCCCGGGGAGGCCGCGTTCTCTGTCTGGTCCTGGGATCCTGCGGATCCCACCCTTGTCTGAAGGCGTCGTTGCCCCCCACCTCCCTCCTCCTCATGCTGGGCCCTGCTGCTCTCCAGGTCCTCCCTCCGCAGTCACCGCTTCCCTTGAGCCCGCACTGTAGAGGTGCCCGGTGCCTGTCCTGTCATATGGGGTGTTCTTGCCTGCCCAGATCCAGCTCTTGGAAAATGCGCTCCTCCGAGATGCCGGTGTCTTCCTCCAAACCCTCGTGTGATTGTGTGGGCCAGCAGGATCAGGAGACAGAGAGAGGGACTGAGAGAGCAGTAGAAAACCAGAGGCAGAGAAAAGAAGAATGAGGAAGACCCATACAGATAGCAAAGTAGAGGATAGGTGAGGGATTTGCCAAGAGACAGCAAAAGTGAAAAAAAGATAAGAAAACAGGAGAAAAGCAACTGCAGAAATGTAGAGAACAGCTAGATGTACAGAGATGAAGGACAGACAGCAAGGTATGGAGAGGGGCAGAAATGTGGAGGCTCATCAGAATGAGGAAGAGGAGGAGGGATTTGGAGCCAGGACAAACAGAGCAGAGTGGTGCTGGTGGCAAGGAGAACAGAGGGAGAACCACAGCAGGGAGGACACCTGGGGATCTGAGGTGTCAGATTAGGTCCAGGGGGTTATAACAGGGAAGAGAGAATTTAATAGTGAGAGCAGAGGAGGTGCAGAGATGGTATAGAGGCAGAAATCTATGGAGATTGAGGACGATCTAAAGCTTGGGAAGGAGGAGCAACAAGAGGTTAAATAAATTGTGAGGATTGAGCCCGGGTAATTTTTGTATTTTTAGTAGAGACGGTTTTTCCATGTTGGCCAGGTTGATCTCAAACCCCTGACCTCAGGTGATCCACCCACCTCGACCCCCCAAAGTGCTGGAATTACAGGTGTGAGCCACCGCAGCTGTCCACCCGTGTATTCTTGATTGAAAATTTTTGCTGATGTCTTAGTTCTACAGCTGACCCTGTTTCCCTGTTTGCAAGGTCAATAGCTGTGTGTTTACACTTCTGCATTTTATAAATGTTACTGAGATTTCCTCGTAAGGAAGAATTCAATGTTGGGAGTCAGTTTTCATCAGAACCTTTCAAAAGAATTTTCTTTAACCCAGGTATGTGATAGACACTTCTCTTAATTTTAAGGATGGGAATGATAAGACCAACCCATCCCATTAGCCTTTCCAGGCCCCCATGTAAGAATTCAGACACACCTTCTCACTGATCTCAGACCTTCTCGGGGTAACTTGGTGAAAATGTTTCCTGCTCTGAGCCCCAGTGAGCCTCCCTGCAACTTGGCGATGACGGACTAGACCAGAAAAGCTCGACCTGAGTGACCCTGACCCCTGAAATGATTGGCAAAATAGTGGCGGTGTCTGGGTGTGGCTTTTTCTCTGGGAGAGGGGAGTGCCCAGTTGTAATTAGAATTTTCCATGGGATGCAGTAACCCAAAAATGAAGAAAAAAAAAAAAAGGCAGAAGAATGGAAGAAACAGAGCGGTAGACTCAGAAACAGAGACCATCTTCAGAGGCCTTTGTCTGTATGAGGATATCACAGCTACGTCTAAAGCAGGTCGTGTCAGTCCCTGGCAGGGAACCCTCCACCGGCTTCCTGTGTTCCCCGGGACAAAAGTCCAGCTCCTCACTGTGGCTCCACAGCCCTGTGTCCATGGCCCCTGCCAGTGTCCAGCCTCCTCCTGGGAGCTTACCCTCCTCTCCCGACTCCCTCTGCCCCAGTCACATTTGCTTTTCTCTTTTTTCAAACATCAAAATCCTTCCTGTCTCAGGTCATTGTCTCCGCTTTTATTCTATGTTTCTAAATGAAGATGGCACTGTCCCTTTCTCCTTCAGGTCTAGGCTCAGAGATGCCTCCTATGCCCTCCCACCCCCATCTAAAGTTCCCTCTGCCTGTCAGTGTCTATTACATTACTCAAGTTTTCTGATCTCTGTGTCAATCCCATCAGAAATGCACTTTTTTTTTTTTTTTCAGACTCTCACTCTGTCCTCCAGGCTGTGAGTACAGTCTCGTGATCTTGGCTCACTGCAACCTCTGTCTCCTGGGTTCAACTGATTCTTGTGCCTCAGCCTCCCAAGTAGCTGAGATTATAGGTGTGTGCCTCCACACCCTGCTAATTTTTGTATTTGTATTTGTATTTTATTTTATTTTTGAGTCTTACTCTGCCGCCTAGGCAGGAGTGCTGTGGCATGATCTCAGGTCACTGCAACCTCCACCTTTCAGATTCAAGCAGTTATCCTACCTCAGCCTCCTGAGTAGCTGGGATTACAGATGCCCACCAAGCCTGGCTACTTTTTGTATTTTTAGTAGAGAGAGGGTTTCACCATGTTGGCCAGGCTGGTCTTGAACTCCTGACCTCAAGTAATCCACCCACCTCGACCTTTCAGAGTGCTAGTATTACAGGCATGAGCCACCGTGTCCAGCCCAATTTTTGTATTTTTAGTAGAGACAGGGTTTCTCCATGTTGTCCAGGCTGGTCTCGAACTCCTGACCTCAAGTAATCCACCCACCTCGACCTTTCAGAGTGCTAGTATTACAGGCACGGGCCACCGTGTCCAGCCCAATTTTTGTATTTTTAGTAGAGACAGGGTTTCTCCATGTTGGCCAGGCTGGTCTCAAACTTCTGAGCTCAAATGATCCTTCCACCTCAGCTTCCTAAGTAGCTGAGACCACAGACACACAGACGTGCACCACCGTACCTGGCTAAGTTTTTGTATTTTTGGTAGAGATCTCCTGAACGGGAGCTCATCCCAGCCCAGCTCCCCACTGCTGCAGTGTGTGTGTGTGTATGGGGGCTTTTCCAGGAGCAGAGCAGGAGTTTTCCTGTAGGAATTTTTTGTTCCTGGTGCAGTGGGCAGCAGAGGGGACCATATTTCCTCAGGGTGATGTATCCTGTGTATGTGTCATTGTGTTACCAGGAAAGGATGTGTTGATTCTATGCAATAAACATCATATTTTTGACATTCAGGACTGACTTCTAAAGACTCTTGGTACGTGAGGAAGATACCTGGAAGAGGAAGAGGAAAGCAAAGGAGTCAGGGATGGCTCCTCCTCAGGTGAGATGATATTTCGGTGGATTGTTCTGTCTCCTTCCTTTCAGAAACGCTGGGCCTTGGAGTTGGGAATCTTCTCTGAGTCTGAAGCGTCCTTCCTGACAGGTTTGCTCACACTCACCCATGCCTTCCCTCAGTCCCTCTCGTCTCACTTAGATTCCGTCTCTTGTGACCCAGTGGCATGAACTTGGAAGGAGGCTGCAGTGGTCGTTGTCCTGGGAAGGGCTCACACCAGACATGGATGGAGGACGGGGTGAGGGTCCCGTGGTGTCAGGGCTGTTGGGCAGCAGGGATTGTTCAGGGGTCATATGTGGATGCACGTTTAGCTCTCTGTGGACCAGGATTAGAGCAGCTGCCACTGGAAGTCACGTATTAATGATCACAAAGTATGTGGTAAATTCCAGAAAAGGAGACCAACATGGAGAAATGTTTTCTGCCTGATTTTTTACTACACTTTTAGGTAATTGAGTGAGTCACTGTGTTTCTGACTCCAAAAATCTTACTAATTAGAATGGAAAGTTCATACGTAGATATGAATAATGAATGATTCCTTTATTACTATTATTATCATTATTATTATTATATGAGGCAATATTTTGCTCTTGTTGTCCAGGCTGGAGAGTACAATGGCATGATCTCAGCTCACCGCAACCTCCGCCTCCTGGGTTCAGGCGATTCTCCTGCCTCAGCCTCCTGAGTAGCTGGGATTACAGGCATGTGTCACCACGCCCAGCTAATTTTGTATTTTTAGTAGAGATGCGGTTTCTCCATGTTGGTCAGGCTGGTCTCAAACTCCCAACCTCAGGTGATCTGCCCACCTTCGCCTCCCAAAGTGCTGAGATTACAAGTATGAGCCACTGTGCCTGGCCTATTCCTTCATTATTTTAAGAATATGAAATCAATGTAATAATAGCCGGAGGTTCATTAAACCATTCTTAGCACATTACGTCCATGAAGACAGTGGTGTTACTGTGGAGGGGCTTGTGAAACAAGTGTTTTTGGTAAAAATAGTTGCAATTTTTCTCAAATATGGAAGCAGTACTATTTTATCCAAGAGGATAAAGCTGTATTCTCATTCCGCGTATTGTTATTATTATTATTTTTCTGAAATGGAGTCTTGCTTTGTTGCCGAGGCTGGAGTGCAATGGCATAATCTAAGCTTACTACAACCTCTGTCTCCTAGGTTGAAGCGATTTTCCTGTGTCAGCCCACCTAGTAGCTGGGATTATAGGTGCGTGCCACCACGCCTGGCTAATTTTTTTGTATTCTTGGTAGAAACGGGGTTTCACCACGTTGGCCAGGCTGGCTTCGATCTCTTAACCTCAGGTGATCTGTCCACTTCAACCCCCTAAAGTGCTGGGATTACAGGCACAAGTCACCATGCCCATCCCCACCAGTTATTATTAAATATAAATGGTTATATTTAAACGTCACATGATGTACACATTTGTTTTGTGGTAAAACTCCAAGCAAAGCTGCAGCTTAGACCCTTGGCTCAAGGCATCTCCTTTCCCTGTCACATCCTCCACCCTCCTTCCAACCTCGCTGGGAATTGCTACTGTCAGTTCTGTGCCAAGTGTTGTAAGTGTAACTGTGCCAAGTGTTCTGTGCAAGTCTTGTACATGCGTATTTCTGCATCTTTATGAGACTTTAAAACTTCTGTTGTAAGTTAAAGAAAATTTTTCATATTTTTTTTTTACTTTACATTTGGGGCTACATGTGAGGGTTTGTTATAGAGGTCAACTTGCGTCATTGGAGTTTGCTTTGCCAATTATTTCATCACACCAGTATCAAGGCTGGTACCCAATAATTTTTTTTTAATTCATTTTTTTGAGATTGAATTTGCTCTTGTTGCCCAGGCTGGAGTATAATGGCATGATCTCAGCTCACTGCAACCTCCGCCTCCTGGGTTCAAGTGTGTCTCCTGCCTTAGCCTCTTGAGTAGCTGGGATTACAGGTGCCAGCCACCATGCCTGGCTAATTTTTGTATTTTTAGTAGAGACAGAGTTTCACCATGTTGGCCAGGCTGGTGTTGAATTCCTGTCCTCAGGTGATCCACCTGCCTCGGCTTCCAAAAGTGCTGAGATTACAGGTGTGGGCCGCTGTGCCCGGGCCCAGTAGTTATTTCCTCTGCTCCTCTCCTTCCTCCCACTGCCAAGACGAGATTCCTCTTCGGTTAAACAAATCTTGCTACTTTTATATTTTAAAAACTTTTATATATATAAATATATATATACACATACATACACACATATCTATGCATAGACATACCTATATACACACACATATATATTTTGAAAATCTGGGGAAAATGACAACTTTTTTTTATTAACATCTAATTTCTTGTGAGTCTTTGCACGTTTTATTATTTTTGGAGCATATATTTGCAGAGTAGATTTTCGTACTTTGAATAATGCTGTTTTCATATATTTATTTTATTTTGAGACAAGGTCTCACTCTGTTGCCCAGGCTGGAGTGCAGTGGCATGATCTTAGCTCACTACAACCTCCACACTCAGACTCAAGCCATCCCCCAACCTCTGCCTCTCAGGTAACTGGGACCACAGGTGTGTGCCACCATGCCGGTTTATTATTATTATTATTATTATTTTGAGATGGGATCTTGTTCTGCAGCCCAGGCTGGAGTGCAGTGGTGTGATGTCGGCTCACTGCAACCTCTGCCTTCTCAGTTCAAGCAATTCTCCTGCCTCAGGCTCCCGAGTAGCTGGGAATACAGGCGAGTGCCACCACGCCCAGATACTTTTTTGGTATTTTCAGTAACGACGGGGTTTCACCTTTTTAGCCAGGATGGTTTCCATTTCCTAATCTTGCGAACTGCCCACTGCAACCTCTGCCTCCCAGGTTCAAGCGATTCTCTTGTGTATTGGTTCGTTTTGGGATCACGTTGATTTGCCTTCCTCTAAATAGGGACTCATCTAAGGCCAAGGAAGTCCTCATTGGCTCTTTGTCTGAGAACTCTATATATGCAAACCCTTTGGAATGGCGACTAAATTTGGTACAGAGTTTGGTAACACAGTTGACCCAACCACAGCCATGACAGTGAGCTTCCAGCTCTTCTGCTGTTGCACCATAGTCCACGTTACCAACATAGATGGAACGGGCACCAGCCTCCATCTTCTCCTCAATGTACATGATCTCTGGGCCAGCATTGCCTGGAGGTGGACTCATATTCATCTACTTCTCTAACTCGTTCTGTAGCTCCTTTAGCTTCTCAGCTTCTTCCTCCATCCTCCTGACTCCCGCTTTGATAGCTTCTAGCGCCGGGTCCTCAATGGCGCCGTCCCCTGGGTCACCCTCGACCAGTCCCGGCTCTTCCTCTTCCTCTTGGCTGCAGGGGTTCCCAAACCAGGCCCAGGGCCCGGAGCTCCCGGACGAGGGGCGAGGGGCGTGGGGCCGGGGTGGCTTCTCTTCAGACTGGGGCTCCAGCTCGGGCTCCAGCAGCAGTTCCTCAGGCTCCATTTCCTCACACTCCAGGCCATTCCTTTCATCCCCTGCGCCCCCAGGACACCATCCCCAGCGTCTCCATGGGCCCCAGGCAGAAGATGGCGCCGCCGCCCCTGCCGGAGCCCTAGTGGCCTGCAGCTCCTGCTGCTGTTGCCGCCTCCGCTCAGACTCCTTTTTTTTTTTAATTTTATTTTTTTATTTTTTTGAGAAAGAGCCTCACTCTGTCACCCAGGCTGCAGTGAAGTGGCATGATCTCAGCTCACCACAACCTCCGCCTCCCGGGTTAAAGCATTTTGTTGCCTCAGCCTCTCAAGTAGCTGAGATTACAAGCAGCCAACACCACGTCTGGCTTTTTCTTTTGTATTTTCAGTAGAGAAGAGGTTTCATTATCTTGGCCAGGCTGGTCTTGAACTCCTGACCTGGTTATTCACCTGCTCGACCTCTTAGAGTGCTGGGATTACAGGCGTGAGCCACCGCGCCTGGCCCATAATAGTTATTTTTTCTGCTCCTCTCCTTCCTCCCACCCTCCACCCTCAAGTAGACCCCAGTGTCTTGTTTTCTTCTTTGTGTTCCAGTAAATATTTTGGTTTCATATTTGATTCTGCTGGTTGTGAATTTACATGTTGTCATGTTAGTAAACATGGCTAGCTTGCTTTTTGCCATCTGCAGTGGAAACTGGCTCCTTTGCGATTTTTCCCTGTATAAAGAGTGCCATAGTGGCTGCCTCTGTGCACGCCTGCGTTCCTACACATATCTGAAGCTTCCTCCAGGTCAGGCAGGTGAAAGGTGATTGCTTCTTCTAGGATGGGGCATTTCCTGTTTTCTTAGATCCCACAAGATTCCCCCTTGCGCCCGACTGCCAAAGTGTCCTTTTCCAGCAAGATGAGATTCCTCTTCAGTTAAACAAAATTTGCTACTTTTTATATTTTTAAAAACTTTATATATGTATATACACATCCCCACACATGTGCACACACATATACATACAAATACATGTATACACACGTATATATTTTGAAAATCTAGGACAAATGACAACCCTTTGTATTAACATCTAGTTTTTTGTGAGTCTCTGTAGGTTTTATTATTTTGTGAAACTATATATACACAATTGATTTTTGTACTTTGAGTAATTTTGTTTTCATGTACTTTATTTTATTTTGGGACGCGGTCTCGCTTTGTTGCCCAGGCGTGAGTCCCCTGGCGGGATAGTAGCTCACTGCAACCTCCACCCTCAGGGTCAAGCCATCCTCCCTCCTTAGCCTTCCAAGTAGCTGGGACCACAGGTGCCTCCCACCACGCCCAGCTAACGTTTTTAATTTTTTTTATTTTTTTGAGATGGAGTTTCTGTTGCCCGGGCTGGAGTGCAGTGACATGATCTGGGATCCCTGCAACCTCTGCCTCCCCAGATCAAACGATTCTCCTGCCTCAGCCTCATGCGTAGCTGGGATTACAGGCATGTGTCACTGCGCCCAGCCTATCTTTTACTGTGGACATTGTCATCTTTTAAGACATCAGTCGTGCTCTCTCTCATCTAGATAATGTCACTTGGTGTGTCAATAAAAGTTCCGAACATTTTTATAACAGGAACCCAACATTGATTTTTCATTTGTTTATTTCTTGTATTTCTCACAAACATAAGAATTTCATACTGAAAGTGTGCCTTGACTTCTTCAAAAACTATAATAAAGACATCATGTGGTGAAAAATCCCTTCCTCGGATTTGTCAGAACATTCACTACAACTAAATCCCTGCTTTCCCCTCTCTCCTCTTCTCATTTTCGGTAAAGATAAGAACTCCTCCCATAACCATTTGCTTAAAATGTGTTTTCATTCCAGGGTCTATTGACATTCAGGGATGTGGCCATAGAATTCTCTCAGGAGGAGTGGAAATGCCTGGACCCTGCTCAGAGGACTTTATACAGAGACGTGATGCTGGAGAATTATAGGAACCTGGTCTCCCTGGGTGAGGATAACTTCCCTCCTGGGGATGTGCCCTTGCGTATCTTTGCATTTTCTCTTGTTGCCTCTTGGAAGCCACACACTTACTTGACTAAAATGGAAGCCTTATTGATTTTGACATGAAAAGCTTCATGATGCCAAGAACACACCACTGCACTCCAGCCCAGGTGACAGAGCAAGACTCTGTCTCAAAAAACAAAAACAAAAACAAATCTTATGGCAGACTTTAAACATCTCCAGTTTCCTGTTTGCTTTTCTTGTGCTTTCAATTCGGTAATTCTTGGAAGAGAGCTCGATGTCCACATATCACATATTACAATGCTCCCTCAGCATTCAGAAGGAAGCAGTCAGTAGAGGAATTTGTGAAATATTTTCCTAGATCCATCTGTAATGTCTTCCTTCCTACAGAAACGTAGGGCTGGGACTCTAGAAAAGCTCCAGCACGTCATAGTCCTTTCTTTTTATAAGCAGGAGTCTCTTTCTGACCTGCTGTCTCCATGTTGGAGCAAGGGAAAGAGCCCTGGACTGTGGAGAGTGAAGTGAAAATAGCAACAAAATCCAGCTGGGAGGGAATGTATTACAGGCGTAAAGGCAGGTAAGAGCTCAGATGGGCAGAGTGGAAGCTCCACCTTCCACTAGTGTGTGGGGAAACTCTGCAAGTGGGAGAATTCTGTGGGAAAAGAAAAGTTTCAATCCTCATATCTCTGAAAGGGCATCTTTCTTTGCACCTGCTTATCTCGCTGCTCTTTCTTTCTTTCTATTCTTTCTTTCTTTTTTTATGACAGAGTCTCACTCCGTGGCCCAGGCTACAGTGCAGTGGTACGATCTTGGCTAACTGCAGCCTCTGGCTCCTGGACTCAAAGCATTCTTGTGCCCCAGATTCCTGAGTAGCTGGAACTGCAGGCTCTTACCACCATGCCCAGCTAATGTTTGTGTTTTTAGTAGAGACAGTGTTTCACCATGTTGGCTAGGCTGGTTTCAAACTTGTGATCTCAAGTGATCCACCTGCCTCAGAATCCCAAAGCATCGGGATTACAGGTGCGAGCTGCCATGCCTGATCATTGTTATTATTTTAAATAGTTTTGTCTTTTAGTTCTTTAGATATTTGGGCAGAGGTTATTGTTGCAGGTATGTTAAACATCTTAAAGTTATAGCATAATAAAGAAACTTAAAATTTCCATAACCTGGATGTGTGCAGTGGCTCACACCTGTAATCCCAGCACTTTGGATGGCCAAGGTAGGCAGATCACCTGAGGTGAGGAGTTCAAAACCAGCCTGGCTAACATGTTGAAACTTCGTATCTACTAAAATTACAAAAATTAGCCAGGCATGGTGGTGGGTGACTGTAATCCCAGCTACTCAGGAGGCTGAGGAAGGAGAGCCTCTTGAATCTGGAAGGCGGCAGTTGCAGTGAGCCGAGATTGCACCATTGCACACCAGCATGGGAGACAGAGTGAAACTCCGTTTTTCAAAAAGAGAACAAAAAAATTCCATAACCTGCAAAAACTTCGTCTCCACTGGAACATTTTTTTTAAATTTATGTCAGAATTATTTCTGTGTATGTTGCATTTTTGTTAACATATGTACAGTGCCTTTTATTTTAAATAATGTGAAAAAAAGTTTAGTTATGAAGAAGAGGTATACATATGCCAGTTTCTGTATCTGTCCTTTTATTAATTACTTTATGTATTTATGAGACAGAGTTTTGCTCTTGTCACCCAGGCTAAAGTACAATGCTGCAATCTCAGCCCACTGGAACCTCTGCCTCTCAGGTACAACCAATTCTCCTGCCTCAGCCTCCTGAGTAGCTGGGATTACAGGCATGCGCCACCACATCCATATACTTTTGTATTTTTAGTAGAGACAGGGTTTCTTTTTGTTGCTCAGGCTGGTCTCAAACTCCCCACCTCAGTTGATCTGCCTGGCTCGTCCTCCCAAAGTGCTGGGATTATAGGCATGAACCACCACACCTGGACTATCTGTCTTTTTTTTCACATTTACTGGAGAACTTTATTTATTTATTTATATTATTATTATTATTATTATTATTGTGATGGAGTCTCACTCTATCACCCAGGCTGGAGTACAGTGGTGTGATCTCAGCTAACTGCAACCTCCGCCTTCCGGATTCAAGCAATTCTCCTTCCTGAGTAGCTGTGACTACAGGCATGCGCCACTACACCCAGCTAATTTTTGTATTTTTAGTAGAGACGGGGTTTCACCATGTTGGTTGGCCAGGATGGTCTCGATCTCCTGACCTCGTGATCTGCCCCCCTCAGCCTCCCAAAATGCTGGGATTACTGGTGTGAACCACCACACCCAGCCTGGAGAACTTTATATAGACTTGTGGATTGGAGTTACTCTTGGTTTTTTTGTTTGTTTATTTGTTTGTTTTGAGACGGAGTCTCGCTCGTTGCGCAGGCTGGAGTGCAATGGTGCATTCTTGGCTCACTGCAAGCTCCACCTCCCGGGTTCACGCCTGCCTCAGCCTCCCCAGTAGCTGGGACTACAAGTGCCTGCCACCATGCCTGACTAATTTTTTGGATTTTCATAGAGACGGGGTTTCACCGTGTAAGCCAGGATGGTCTCAATCTCCTGACCTTGTGATCTGCCTGCCTCGGCCTCCCAACATGCTGGGATTACAGGCATGAGCCACCACACCTGGCCTGGAGTTAGTCTTTAGCCTTCTTTCATTTTTTTTTTGTTTGTTTCTTTGAGACAGAGTTTCAGTCTGTAACCCAGGCTAAAGTGCAGTGGTGTCATCTCGGCTCACTGCAACCTCCAATTCCCAGGTTCAAGCAATTCTCCTGCCTCAGCCTTCCAAGTAGCTGGGACTACAGGTGAGTGCTAACACACCAGCCTAGTTTCTTGTGTTTTTTTAGTAGAGATGGAGTTTCAGCTTGTTAGCCAGGATGGTCTCAATCTCCTGACTTAGTGATCCTCCCGCCTCAGCCTCCCAAAATGCTGGGATTACTGGCGTGAGCCTCTGCACCTGACCTGTCTCAAGGTTTTAAAAACATGTTAGTGCTAGTAGATGGCTTCAAATATTGCAAGTTTTACAGTACAGCCTCTTAACTTCCTTTGTTTAATTAGATTTGTCACCTTCAGTGATGTTAATGATGAGATGCTCTTTTTCCTGTCTGTCATTTCACTGTCCTGTCAGAAATAGCTTAGACTCGCCAGCCCCAGTGTCTCACTTTTCTAATCCCAGCACTTTTAGAGACCAAGGTGGGTAGATTGCTTGAGGTCAGGAGTTTGAGACCAGTCTGGCCAACATGTTGAAACATTGAATGTACTAAATGCCAAAAATGGGCCAGGTGCAGTGGCTCACACCTGTAATCCCAGCACTTTGGGAGGCTGTGATGGGTTGATCACTTGAGGTCAGGAGTTCGAGACAAGCCTGGCCAATATGGTGAAACCCCATCTCTACTAAAAATGCAAAAATTAGCTGTGTATGGTGGCGTGCACCTGTAATCCCAGCTACTTGGGAGGTTGAGGCAGGAGAATCCCTTGAACCCGGGAGGTGGAGGTTGCAGTGAGCCAAGATCATGCCCCTGAACTCCAGAACGGGTGACAGAGTGAAACTATGGACTGAGGAGGGAGAATCACTTGAGGTAGGATAATCCTGCCAGTACACTCCAGCATGGGTGATAGAGCGTGACTCGATCTGAAAAACAAACAAAAAAGGAAGTAGCTTAAACTGGGAGGCTTAAGACACAGACATTTATTTCTCCTGAATTTGGAAAGTGGGAAATCCAAGAGCGAGGTGCCAGCCAAATTAGTTCCTGGTGAGAGCCTTCTTCATGGTTTAGCCCAGCCATCTTCCTCCTGTGTCCTAATATGGTGGAAAGAGGAACAGGCAATGAGCTCTTTAATGTCTCTTTATAAATGCACTGGTCCTATTCACGAGTAATCAACACCCATGACTCAGTCCTCTCAACGTCTGCATCTGCAGGAACATCCTATTAGAGAATACCAAATCTACCGAAGCTTATTTGAGAAGTAGTTATTTATCTTGTTTGATTTTTTTGAGACAGTCTCATCCTGTCACCCAGGCTGGAGTGCAGTGGCACGATCCCGGTTCACTGCAACCTCCGCCTCCCAGGTTCAAAGGTTTTCTGCCTCAGACTACCAACTACCTGGGATTACAGGCTCCCTCCATGACGACCAGCTAATTTTTTTGTATTTTTAATAGAGATGGGGTTTCACCATGTTGTCCAGGCTGGTCTTGAACTCCTGACCTCACGATTCACCTGCCTCAGCCTGCCAAAGTGCTGGGATCACAGGCCTGTGACACTGCACCCGGCTGTTAGTCAATTCTCATTCCTTATAATGCTGTGTATTTTCTTGACCTCATATATCAGAAGGTAGTGACCTTAACATGTATTTCAGGTCTTATGTTGTATGCTTATGGTAAGTACAAGTTTTGGCTCTTTTCTTAAGAGGGAATTGTTTAGAATTCTTCAATCTGTATAAATCTACTTATTATTTTCTGGCTTGTTTTATCATGGATTGCAGTATTTGATTAATTGATTTTTATGACTTTACATGTGAGTTTTCGGTATGTGGTATGCAATATAACTGACACACTCCCCCCATTAATGTCACAAAGTGCCACAGGTTGCAGTGGCTCAGCCTGTAATCCCATGTCTTTGGGAGACCGAGACATATGGATCACCTGAGGTCAGCAGTTTGAGACCAGCCTAGCCAACATGGTGAAATCCCATCTCTACTAAAAAATGCAAAAATTAGCTGAGCATGGTGGCACGTGCCTGTAATCCCAGGTGCTCAGGACCTAAGGCAAGAGACTCATATGAACCCCAGCGCAGAGGTTGCATGAAGCCAAGATCATGCCATTGCACTCCACCCTGGGTGACAGAGCGAGACTCTATCTGAAAGAAATAAAAATATATAAAATTGAAAAAAAGTCCCAGCATGCCTGTTCCACATGGATATAGGTAATTTTGTAACAGTTATTCAGAAAAATACCATATTAACATTTTCTTTTTTTTGAGATGGAATCTCATTCTGTCACCCAGGGTGGAGTGCAGTGGTGTGATCTCAACTCACCACAATCTTTGGCTCCTGAGTTGAAACGATTATCCTGCCTTAGCCTCCCAAGTAGCTGGAATTACAGGCGCCTGAGACCACGCTTGGCTAGTTTTTGTATTTTTAGTACAGACAGGGTTTCTCCATGTTGGCCGGGATGGTCAAACTCCTGACCTGAGATGATCTGCCTACCTCGGCCTCTGGAAGTACTGGGATTATAGGCACGAGCCACCACACCCTGCCTTTTTTCTTTTTCTTTTTTTTTTTTTTTTTTTTTTTGTTGAGATGGAGGCTCATTTTGTCACCTGGGCTGGAGTGTAGTGGTGTAATATTGGCTCACTGAAACCTTTGCCTTTTGGCTTAACGCAATTCTTGTGACACAGCCTTTGGAATAGCTAGGAGTACAGGTGCAGGCCGCCATACCTGGCTAATTTTTGTAACCTTTTGTTATCTTGTCAGTGCTATGATTGTTTGACAATACAGAATTTCCATTGATTTTGGTTCTCCTTACAACAGCATGTTGTGGATTATTTACCAATGTGGTATATTGTGTGATTCTTTAGCATTTATTTGTATACACTAAATATGCTGTAAATATGAAGAATATATATTTTTATATTTTGATGTGACAGTGATGTGTTTTTTTGCAAACTGATACACTTTAGGGTCACAGTGGAAAAACACTCCTTTCTTTAGACTCACACATGTTTGTGCCCTGTCAGTGTCTTGTCATGATATTGGGAATAGGCTTCTGTAGAAATGATTTGAAGTACATGTAATTGCCCTTTATTTATTAAAGTATCTTACTGCTTTTGTGTTCATAAGCATTGAAGATCATGTTTGGGAAGTTTAAAATAAGTATTGTTTTTCATGTCATTTTTACACATTTCAGTATTATATACCATCTGTACTTAATTGGAAACCTATTGGTGTTTAAATTTTGTAGATGTCTCTTCCAAATGCATGTTGAAGACGTTGTCATCAACAGGGCGAGGCAATACAGAAGTCATCCTCATTGGGACATTGCAAACACAAGCAAGTCATCACACTGGAGAGTTTTGCTTCCAGAAAATTGAGAAAGACATTCATGGCTTCGAGTTGCAGTGGAAAGAAGATGAAACAAATGGTCATGCAGCACCCATGACAGAAATCAAAGAGTTGACTGGTAATACAGACCGACATGATCAAAGGCATGCTGGAAACAAGTCTATTAAAGATCAGCTTGGATCAAGCTTCCATTCACATCTGCCTGAACTGCACATATTTCAGCTTGAAGGGAAAATTGATAATCAAGTTGTGAAATCTGTCAACGATGCTTCCTCAGTTTCAACATCCCAAAGAATTTCTTGTAGGCCCAAAACCCGTATTTCTAATAAGTATGGAAATAATTCCCTCCATTCTTCATTACTCACACAAAAATGGGAAGTACACATGAGAGAAAAATCTTTCCATTGTATAGAGAGTGGCAAATCCTTTAATTGTAGCTCACTTTTAAAAAAACATCAGATAATCCACTTAGAAGGGAAACAATGTAAATGTGATATATGTGGGAAGGTCTTTAATCAGAAGCGATACCTTGCATGCCATCGTAGATGTCACATTGGTGAGAAACCTTACAAGTGTAATGAGTGTGGTAAGACCTTTGGTCACAATTCATCCCTCTTCATTAACAAGGCACTTCATACAGGTGATAAACCTTATAAATGTGAAGAATGTGACAAAGTTTTCAGTCGCAAATCACATCTTGAAGCACAGGAGATAATTTATACTGGAGAGAAAACATACAAATGTAAGGTTTGTGACAAAGCTTTCACGTGTAATTCATACCTGGCAAAACATACTATAATTCACACTGGAGAGAAACCTTACAAGTGTGATGAATGTGGCAAGGTTTTTAATCGACTATCAACCCTTGCACGCCATCGTAGACTTCATACTGGAGAGAAACCTTTTGAATGTGAAGAATGTGACAAAGTTTTCAGCCGCAAATCACACCTTGAAAGACATAAGAGGATTCATACTGGAGAGAAACCATACAAATGTAAAGTTTGTGACAAGGCTTTCGCATATAATTCATACCTGGGAAAACATAGTATAATTCACACTGGAGAGAAACCTTACAAGTGTAATGAATGTGGCAAGGTTTTTAATCAACAATCAACTCTTGCACGGCATCATAGACTTCATAGTGCAGAGAAACCGTATAAATGTGAAGACTGTGACAAAGTTTTCAGGTGCAAATCACACCTTGAAAGACATAGGAGGATTCATACTGGAGAGAAACCATACAAATGTAAGATTTGTGGCAAGGCTTTCCGGAGTGATTCATGCATTACAGAACATCAGAGAGTTCATACTGGAGAGAAACCTTACACATGTAATGAATGTGGCAAGGTTTTTAGTACAAAAGCAAATCTTGCATGTCATCATAAACTTCATACTGCAGAGAAACCTTACAAATGTGAAGAATGTGAGAAAGTTTTCAGTCGCAAATCACACCTGGAAAGACATAGGAGGATTCATACTGGAGAGAAACCATATAAATGTAAGGATTGTGACAAGGCTTTCCGGAGGGATTCACACCTGGCACAACATCAGAGAGTTCACACTGGAGAGAAACCTTACAAGTGTAATGAGTGTGGCAAAACCTTCCGTCAGACATCATCCCTTATAATCCATCGTAGGCTTCATACTGGAGAGAAACCTTACAAGTGTAATGAGTGTGGCAAGACCTTCAGTCAGATGTCATCCCTTGTATACCATCATAGACTTCATAGTGGAGAGAAACCTTACAAGTGTAATGAATGTGGCAAAGTTTTTAATCAACAAGCACACCTTGCACAGCATCAGAGAGTTCATACTGGAGAGAAACCTTACAAGTGTAATGAGTGCGGCAAGGCTTTCAGTCAGATGTCAAACCTTGTATACCATCGTAGACTTCATAGTGGAGAGAAACCTTAAAAGTGTAATGAGAGTGGCAACACCTTCTATCACAATTCAACCCTTGTAGGTCATAAAGCCATTTGTACTGGAGGGAAACCTTACAAGTGTAATGAATGTGGCAAGGTTTTTAATCAAAAAGCAACCCTTGCACATCATCGTAGACTTCATACTGGAGAGAACTTTACAGATGGGAAGAATGTGACAAAGTTTTCAGTCGCAAATCAAACCTTGAAACACATAAGAAAATTCATACTGAAGAGAAACCATGCAGATGTAAGGTTCGTGACAAGATTTTCACATATAATTCATACCTGGCAAAACATCCTAGAATTCACACTGGAGAGAAACCTTAGAAGTGTAATGAATGTGGCAACACCTTTGGTCAAAATTCACACCTTGTAATTCAAAAGACAATTCATACTGGAGAGAAACCTTACAAGTGGAATGAATGTGGCATGGTTTTAAATCAACAATCACACCTTGCAAGTCATCATAGACTTCATACTGCAGAGAAATCTTAAAAATGTGAAGACTGTGACAAAGTTTTCAGTCACAAATCACAGCTTGAAAGGATAATTCATACTGGAGAAAAACCATACTAATGTAAGGTTTGTAACAAGGCTTTTGGGAGTGATTCACACCTGTCAAAACATACCAGAATTAACACTGGAGAGAAACCTTACAAGTGCAATGAGTGTGGCAAAGTCTTTAGTGGGCAGTCACCACTTATTCACCATCAAGCAATCCATAGTATACAGAAAGTTAACTAATGTAATGATTGTCACAAAGTTTTCAGTAATGCTATAATCATTACAAATCATTGGAGAATGCATAATGAAGAGAGAACTTACAAGTGTAATAAATGTGGCAAATTTTTCAGACATCGTTCATATCTTGCAGTTCTTTGTCAAACTCATGCTGGAGAGAAACCTTATAAATGTTATGATTGTGGCAAGGTCCTCAGTCAAGTTTCATCCTATGCAAAACATAGGAGAATTCATACAGGAGAGAAACCTCACACGTGTGATGATTGTGGCAAAGCCTTTACTTCACGTTCACATCTCAATTGGCATCAGGAAATCCGTACTAGACAGAAATCTTACAAATGTCATCAGTGTGGTAAGGTCTTCAGTCTGAGGTCGCTCCTTACAGAACATCGGAAAATTCATTTTGGAGACAGTTATTTCAAATGTGATGAGTATAGCAAACCATCAAGCGTTAATTGACATTACAGTCAAACAAGCATTGACCTGAGTTTAAGTTGGCTTAACATTGAGTTCAAGCATGAGTTGACATTAAACTGTTTATGTTAAGAGGATTGGGCTGGGTGCTGTGGCTCATGCCTGTAATGCCAGCACTTTGAGAGGCCAAGACAGGTAGGTCACTGGAGGTTAAAAGTTTGAGAACAGCCTGGCCAACAGATGGGAGCCACTTTTCCTGGCCTGTATTTTCATTTCTTTTTTTTTTTTTTTGAGATGGAGTCTTGCTGTGTCACCCAGGTTGGAGTGCAGTGGCATGATCTCAGCTCACTGCAACCTCCGCCTCCCAGGTTCAAGTGATTCTCCTGCCTCAGTCTCCAAGTAACTGGGACTACAGGTGCGTGCCACCATGCCTGGGTAATTCTTTGTGTTTTTAGTAGAGACTGGGTTTCACCGTGTTCGCCTGGATGATCTTGATTTTCTGACCTTATGATCCACCTGCCTCCACCTCCCAAAGTGCCGAGATTATGAGTGTGAGCCACCGTGACTGGCCTGTTTTTTGTTTTTTTAACAAAAAGTTATATGGATTTCTATGGGTATTGTATTGAATCTAAATCACATTTGGTTATGTAATCATTGAGCAATACTAATTTTTCCAATCAATATGGGTTGTGTATGTATTTATACATGTTTTTAATCATTTTGATCAATGTTTATAGATTTCAAGGTACAAGCTTCTCACCCTTATGTTTATTCCTAAATGTTTCTTACTTTAAGCTCTTTAGCAAATGGAAGTGGTTTTAATTTTCTTTTAAAATTATTTATTGTTAATGCATGAAAATTAAACTAATTTTTGGTGCTGTTATTCTATTCTGCAGATACACTGAATGTGTTCCAGTTGTACTTTGGTTGACTCTGTGATTTTCTTCACAGAAGATCATGCCGTCTACAAACAAATAGGATTTTACTTCTTTCTTTCTGATTTGGATGAGTTTGATTTCTTTTGCTATTTCATTGCTCTGGCTAGGACAGCCAGTATTGATTGAATAGAAGGGGTGGAGCATTCTTGCATCATGTGAGATCCTACAGGAAAAGCATTCCATTTTCCCTGATTGGTTATTTACACTGTGGTCATTTCATGGATTGTCTTTGTATTGTTGAGGTAAATTTCCTTCTTTATCTATTTTGCTTAGGATTTCCATGATGACTGGACGTTGAATTTTGTGAAATGCTTTTTCTCCATGTATTGAGATGATGTGGTTTCCATCTTTCATTCTGTTCAAGTGGAATATCACATTAAATTGCTTGAATATGTTGAACCATCCTTACATCTCAGAAATAAGTGGCACTTGAATATCTACAATCCTTTTTATATCGTCTTGAATACAGTTTGCTAGTACAAGGGGTCTTCAGGAAGTTCATGAAAAATACATATTATGAGAAAATTGTGCATGACGTCACATTTTTTTGCACCAAAATAAAATGGTACAAATTTGTTATGTGTAAACAGGGTCTAGTTTGAGGCACTCAGAAGGGTAAGATGAGTTTGAAAAGAGAATCTATCAAAGCAATGTAAATTCTGCTAAAATTGAAAGAAGAAAAAACAAAGAAACAACAAGAACACAAGAAACAACGCAGCACGCCAATAACACCACCACCAGAAAACAACAAAACAAGGACACAACAGCACCCCTAGTAAACAACACCAGCCACGACAGAATGGTGAAACCCCTTCTTTACAAAAAATACAAAAACTAGCTGAGCATGGTGGCACATGCCTGCTGGTTCAGCTTCTCTGGAGTTTGTAGTGGGAGAGTGGCTTGAGCCCAGGAGGTAGAGGCTGCAGGGAGCCATGATCATGCCACTGCACTCCAGCTGGGGTGACAGAGTGAGATAGTGTCTTAAGAAATGAATATGCTGAAGTTTGGGTAGAGGGACAATTAAATCATTGATGCTTTGTGAAAAGGTTATGGGGATGATGCCCAAAAGAAATCATTAGTTTGTAAATGGATAACTCATTTTAAGTTGAGACAAGACAATGTTGAAAGTGATGCATGGAGTGGCAGGTAGACCATTCACATCAGTTTTACAGACAAAAATAAATCTTGTTTGTGCTGCGATGAAGAGGACTGACAGCTAACAGCAGAAAGAATAGTCAGGAGTTTGAGACCAGCCTGGATAACAAGGTGAATCCCCATCCCTACTAAAAATACAACAATTAGCTGGGCATGGTGGTGGCCACCTGTAATCTTAGCTACTCGGGGGGCTGAGACATGAGAATCGCTTGAATCCAGGAGGCGGACGTTGCAATGAGTCGAGATCGTGCACCTGCACTCCAGCTGGGCAACAGAGCAAAACTCTGTCTCAAAATAAAATAAAATAAAACAAATAAAACTGCTTCTCAAATAAGCTTTGGTAGAATCTTAAGGGGTCACATCATTGTTTTCCAACTATGATATGTGTTGAAAAATTTGTTCTTTGACCACACATTTTATTAGATTTTTTTTTAACCATTATTAATGGTTTTTCTCTGAAATGTATTGTGTTCAGGTTACATTGAGGATTGCATGCTTTCTAGTCTGTATCATATATTGGAAACATTTTCTGGTACCTGATAAATGACTAGTTTGTTTCAATGTGTACTTGATAAAGATATCACGGAACTTTTTTCTTTATGCTAACATCAAAATTTAGTTCAAGTGGCCATGATTCCATTTTATTTCTTTATGTCATCTGATTAAATGGTGAGCTGTGAGCTTCTAAGTCATCATTCCCCTCATGTTCCTCTGGTCCATAATATTTGCAGATGTTGAAGGATGGGCTGGATTGACCTGGAACCTTGTTCCACTGGAGCCCATGTGTTCATGAAGAAAACATTTGCTCAGATCTCCTTTTACCGCTGCTTCTTTTTCAGTGTTTTAAACACTTATGGCTACGTGTTCACAATTGTGTTTATTTTGAACGTTTCACAATCATTTTTCTGGGAAAATAATTACATGTTTAGGATTCGTGCCATCAGAACCTTAGACATTGAAAGAGACACTTCATTTGCTCAGGTATATAAAATGGTACTGAAATGTTTTCAGAGATCAAGACAGGTAGGTCACATGAGCCCTGGTATTCAAGCCCTTCTTTTTGAGACAAGAATGTCACTCTGTCACCCATACTTGAGTGCAGGGACACGATCTTGGCTCACTGCACCCTCCACCTCCCAGGCCCAGTGATCCACCTTAGCCTCCCAGATAACTGAGACCACAGATGCACACCACCACACCAGGCCAATTTTCTGTACTTTTGGTAGCGACGGGGTTTTACCAAGTCTCCCAGGTTGGTTTCAAACTCCTGGGCTCAATGGTCTACCCACTCCAGCCTCCCAAAATGCTACGATTACAGGGTTAGCCACCATGCCCGGCCCATTGTGGAATTTTCTAGAGAAGGAAAACCAACACAGCCTATTGGCGCTTCCAGCCAGCCATCACATGGGAATCAGCCACACCTCCTGACTCAACTCAGAGCTTCTCAGGATACCTTGGTGAAGTGTCTCCTGCTCGGAACAACTGACACAACCTGTAATGTACAGGTGGGGAATAAGACCAGAAAAGCTCAGTCAGAGTGACACTGACCCCTGAAATACTTCACCAAATAGTGTGTGGCTTTTCCTGTAGGAGAGGGTAATGCTCAGGTGTAATTTGAATTTTAAATGGATTCCTGTCCTCCCAAAATGTAAAAAACACAAATACCAGAATAGAAAAAAAAGGGGATTAGACTCAAGTCGTCTTGAACCTATTCTTGTCTCTGTCCACACAAACTGCTTTTCCTAATCTCATCTCACAGCTTTAACCCACCTACACGGCTCCGTGTCCCCTGCAGGTTTCTTCCCTGAGCTGTACAATCCTGTGTCCTGTTGTCTCCTCAGCTCTCTGCTGGGACATCAAACTGGCATCTCCACATTCACGTGCCCATAAGTGACTTCCTAAACTCCCAAACACATTCCCTTACAGTCCTACAGATCTCAGATGAGGGTGACTGTGTACTTCCGGGGACTTAGCCAAACTTGACAGCATGTATTTTAAGTATGGGAGATAAATTACATTATTTGTAAGTGTTGTCATTTATAATGTAAAGAGAAAGTTGCATGTATACATAAAAGGAGTGAGAAAATACATCATTTCCAAAATTCTTTTGAGGTGTGGGGGAAAAATGTTTCAAGACCTCATCCCTATGGATCTGTGCTCCCAGGACCCCTCTAATCTCACCTCCTGCCTGCGTCCTCCTCACTCCCTCTGCTCCAGCCATGCAGGCCTCTTTCCTTTTTCTGGGACTGAGGTTGCTCCTGTCTCAGGGCCTTCACCTGTGCTGTCCCTCTGCCTAGGACTCTGTGGCCACTGAGCTGCAAGTGACAAGCAGCATTTCTTCCCCAAGTCTTTGTTCTCACATCACTTTTACTATGGAGAACTTTATGTTCTCCCACAGCCCCCCATTTGTCATGACAGCTCCACCTTCACCCCCACCTCTGGTCCATGTTGCCTGTTCTGTGTGATTCTTTTTCCTCCTTCGCTATTCACTGGATCCTGGTGAGGTGGACAAGTCTCCTAAAGCAGGGGAGCAGAGCCAGAAGGTGGGGTGTGCTGGGCTGGCGCCTCGATTGGAGTTCACCCTGACTTTAC